ACAGTTAAACCACAGAATGTGAAACCACAGATAAAGGGGGACTGTCAAATGTATCCATAAATATATTAATCCATATACTATAATGTTGATTTTATTATTTTTTACTGACAGTAAATAACAAGATAATTTTAATAAAATATCTTCATTTTTTTCCTAACCATTATTATTGTAACTCATTTCATTTCATGATTCTTACTGAACATAATTTCGTCAAATGGGGAGGATATTAAAAGTATCTCCAGGTGGCAAATACTAAACAAGGATAAAATAATATAAGTGAACATTAATTACTGCTAGGTAAAATGCCCCCTATCCCCATCACCCCATGACATTCTGCTTTAAAACTTTTACTGGTTAATAAATGTCATTCAGTCATCCTATCTACCTTATTCAGTGTTACCAAGTCACACACCTTTAGCTTAATTTTTAAAAAATAATCCAGATCTTATATCCCTGCACCACTGTTCTGCTCAGATTTTTATTTCTTGCCAGGATTATGGGACAGCATTCTCAGTGGTTTCCAGTCTCTCCTTGACTATAATCCACTTTCCATTACAATCCAGACTAGATTTTCTAGGAAGCAATTTTATTAAAAGAATACTGTAGCTCCCATTTTTAAAGGGTGAAATTAAAATCTAATATATTAACATAGTCTGTTTCCCTACCTACACCTCATCACACTTGCTAACCCACCCTACAAACTATATTTTACCAGGCAAAACTGCCATACTTAAGAATTCAATAGTTATCTCACTGTTGGTAAAATCTGTACCTCCTTTTTCTTCATAACTCATAAGTTCTTGCTGAGTTGAACAAGTATCATGCACTACCTTTCCTGAAAACTTCTTTACAATGCTGGGTTTAACACCTCTTCTATGTTCTCACAGAAGTTCCTATCGATATTTCGCACCCTGCTACTGGAGGGCATGAGGTATCTCTTCCACATTTATATTTCCAGTGCTTGGAATTAACACACACCCAGTAACTCTCTATAGAATAATTAATGAATACATAGGTTGAGTGACTACTGGACAATAGCCAAAGATCTAGCCAAGCATTGAAGATACTCCATAATAAATAATCCAGTTGGTTCTCAAACTTAAATATGTCCCATAAATAAGGTGAAATATGTATTCAAGAAAGATACTGTGTCCCAATCTTATATGTTTTCAGTCAAAAGTTCTGGAGGAGCCAGAAAGGTTGCATTTATAAAATCTCTTTGGGATTAGATAATTGACCAAAATTCACTACACTACTAGTTTTGAAACAGGATCCTATATTTATATCCTATAGCTATTTCATGCATACTCACAGCAGCTCATTCACAGATCATACCTTATGTATTTCAATTTATGTTTCATTATTATGTAAAATTCATCTTTCAGTGCTGAGTTTTAAGTAAAATCTAGATGAGAATCCTTTCCCCCTGGGTCTCAGCAATCTAAAAGCTGACAATTGTCCCCAATACTTCCTCTTCAGAAAGAATTCCAGAGCAAAATATAGATGATACTTAAATACCTCTGTTCTGGAGGTATACTCAGTTTTCTATACAAAAATATGTTGCCTAAATGTAAAAAGTGATTAAGTATTACAATGAACCATTTTACTTTTTTTGTGGTAAAACACAACATTTATTGTGTGGTCTCAAACCAATAATAATACAAGAATATTTTCCAAGAGGCCTACTCATTTGCAATTAGATCAGCATGATGTAATCTAAATTATGACTGGAAGGGGCTTTTGGGATTTGGGGGGAAAAAGTGACTTGGCCTTAATTTTGCCACTTTTTAAAAGTTTGAGTTATTTATGCCTACAAGAACTGGGGTGTAGGCCAGACATGCGGTGGTGGGGTGGGGAAGAGGTGTAAGAGGTTTCACCAGAGACAGTAGGGAGCAGAACAGGTAGATGTACTGAAGTACACTACTGAGGGGGCAGAGAACAAGGCAGGAGAGGTCTGTGTGTCATGTGGGTCACCTCCTTGGCCAGGGATCAAACTTGTGCTGCAGTGGCTATGGAGAGTCATGGTGCTGCCTCTTAACCTGTCACACCACCAGGGAGGCCCTGATTTTGCCACATTTCTAGTTATATGACCTTCATATAATTTACATGGAGCTCTAATCTCTGTCTATAGAAATAAGATATGGGTTGTTGTAATATTCAACCGAGACAACATATGTGAAAATAGACATTTTAAAATACTAATCAAAGTTTGAATAAAAATATTTTTTCAAAATGCAAAGATTTTCTTGGGTTTTTGGCCCTTTTCTTTCTTTATTTCTGAACCAATAATGTCTCTACTTTTCTGGAAACTAAACTTTCTACTAAAACTGTGCTTCTTGTATTCTAAGACACAAAGTGCTTTGGAAAAGCTCCATCCATTACAAACATCCCTTCCTTTGATTGGATAACCTGAGAAAATGACATGTATCCATGACCTCTGCAATGCTCTGGTTTTCTTAAACTTTTTAAGTTACAGCTTCCAAATAAAAAAGTCAAAAACTCTCACAATGTTTATATTTGAACGCCAGCATCCACAATAATGCAGCCATAGCAAATAAGCATATAAAAACAGTGATTGGCATAGTAATAAGGCAAAAGAAGTGATTCTTTAGGGAAAATAATAGCAACCTTGCAAAGTTAGGTTCATGCAGACCAGCAAGTAAGAATCAAAGCTTAACCACTTAAGAGGTAGAAAAAGAATACTTAGAAGAAAACAAAATGCAACATGTATTGCATTAATAAATGAAGCTCATACAAAAATAAAATAATTTGTACATTTACTAAATATAACTTATTATTTTTATAAATAATTAAATATAAAAATTAAGACTATTATGAAAATTATAGTTATACACACTAAAACACATATATACATTTAAAAAAAAACATATACATTTTAATAAATCGAAGATATATATTAAAATTCTAAGAAAATAGATAACACATTTTTGCTTTATGATGTACATTATATAAAAAGTGCTTAAACAAAAAGTTTTAATTAAATATTAAACCTTATTAAATTTTGAACTTGCTAATACTCTGGACTTACTATTTTCGAACTAAGGCTACAGTGGTGATAGTGCTGACACTTAACCCCTATGCCACCAGGAAGGCTCCTCTCTTAACATTTTTTCAAAAAGATTTATTTTTATTTTTTTATGCATTCAAGAATTGGGTGTAGGCCAGAGGTGCTGGGTGGGTGGGGTAAGGGGGCGGGATGTGTGTGAGAGGATTCACCAGAGACAGAGTGGAGAGTAGAGCAGACAGATCTACTGAAATACACTGCTGAGGGGAGCAGCAGATGAGACCAGAGAGGTCTGCTGCACCATGTGGGTAGGCTCCCTGGCTGGGGGGTGGAACTCAGAGGGCAGTGGCTGGGAACAGCTTGATAGCATGAGATTTAACCCCTATGCCACCAGGGAGACCCTCCTCTATTAATATTTTATACTAGGTTTCAACCTTTTTTTTTAATCAGCAATTCTCAAGAATTAGTTTCACTTCCATAAACATTTGAGATGCTAGAACTGGTTCAATAAAGAGCATGTAAGAGGGCATGAGCAACAACCCTGAGTAAAAAGCTGGTACAATGAGTCAAAAAGGATACAAATAGAGCTGCTTTTATCAAAAAGCTGGGAAGCTGTTTGAAAATATAGTCTTCAGAAATTTAGGACTTAACAATTCAAACTAAGTATGTCTTACTACTAAATCACAGATGTAACAAATTTCTTTAAGTGAGTTGGGCTCTCAAGAAGATCAATATGAGCATGAATCCTAACTTGTTACTTCCAAGCTATATCTCAAAAGATTAAGTTACTGGTTATCCAAAGCTTTAATTTCCTAATTTTTAAAATGTGTTAATAATTATAGCTACTTCATAACTGTTCTGAGATTTAAATTGGATTATATCTGTATGCTACAGTATCATGTGTTTCTGTAATATAAATAGCATGCTATTGGCAAAGAAGGAAAGTTTATTAATACTATCACAAGTCATTTTTGTTCAAATGTATTTTTTCTTAATCTGTTGATTTTAAGCTACCAAGAAAAGTTTAACACAAAGTTAAACACAACAGAACCAAGTAAGAATGAAAGAAAATTTAAAACAAATGGATTTTTTTTAAAGTTTTACTATAAAAAGCATTAACCTCTGGCTTCTATCACTTCTTTCTCACAGCTTTAAGAAATGAATGATGGCAGCAAAGCAATCACTTGAGCCACTGACAGTAATAGACTACAACAGAACTTTATCAGTCTACAAGAGGATAAGACCTGTGTGACACGAGACTTGCAGACTGAAAATTTATGGTTTTTGGAAGTAACTGCCACTTTGTTGAAAACTAGGTTGACCACATACTTGTATCTATCAAGTTAATAATACTTTTGGGAAAACATTTAAAGTTTTAAAATCATCATGTACAATAAAATACAAAGTGCTCAATCTTATGGTTCAGCGTGGTAACTGTCTCAGTTCTTTCTCCATTAGTCTCAATTTATGTGGGTTGCACATGCTTGTTAATTCAACAGTCTCAACCTTTCCTTTCTATTTAGTGAAGTTCTATATTTGGTGGATTATTTTTCATTAAGAATTTGATAATTCTTTAATTGTACTACTATTTTTATAGGTTATTTCTTGTTTTAATACACTAGTGAGAAAGCTGCTTGGGTTCAGGTGGTTTATTCCCTAACTTTTCTCCAAAAAATTCTGTTAGTTTTAATGTGCAGAATAGTAAGGCTTTTAAGTAAAATATATTTATACATTAAATAGCTAGGCTTTGCTTATTTTAAATTTCTGGAAACACAAGAGTGTCATACAAATATAAGTACTGACAACATTAGGTATGACGAATTCTTAAATTTAATAGAGCTATCATTAACTTACAGCAGCTAGTAATAATTACCATGTAGCCGAATACAGGTATTCAGCATAAGATTACTAACATCACAAAATTAATAACAATTTTCTACTTCCTTTAAATAACTGATAAATGAAAGATACTTACTGGCTGAAGCCTGAGGTTGCATACGAGGTATTCCTCCATTTGGCACTTGAAAATTTGAGTCACTTCTGCTGCTCTTCACTGAGTCAACTTGTGTATTAGATGTTCGAGACAAGTTTGGAAGACTACGTCGTAGTTTTTCTGTAACATTAGAATTTTAATTAAACTACAAAAAACTCCAAACCATTCTTTCAGATGGAGAAAAGGACTGAGAGAGTAATAAGCATTCAAAATCAAATTATTTTATTTCAGAAGAGTCACATGCAGGACTCACAAAAATAAGCAACTCAATCCAGATTCTATGAATGGGTAGAAAGAGCCTCTAAAAAAGAATCATAAATTATTTGTTTAAATCAAAATCTATACATTTATATACTACTTCATCAGTACAACAAAGCCAAACAAAATTTGCTTTTATTCTTCATTTGTACTATTAATAAAATGGTAAGCTATTGATGTACTTATCTGAAATGCAAAATCTTTGTAAAAATTGTTTCTTTCATACTGAAATATGAAGGATGACTTTTTACCAGAGACATCTAACATAAATAAAATCTGCTATTTTACCTTCATTTTTAACATTGCTTGTCTGTAAATCTGTAGGATGGCCTTGAAGTGAAAGGCGAGGTTGCTGTAAGCGGCTAATCATAGGCTGTGGGGACACTCTACTATATTCTATTCCCCGAGCAGGAGATCGTGAACGAGGTGAATTTCTGGGTGACTGCTTAGGTGATGGTCGAGGTGAATTGCGTGGTGATGGTGAAAACCTGTTAACAGCAGGGTATACTGCGTGATGCATATTGTCATCTTCATCATCTAAACTTTGTGCATCAAGTTCCTGATCACTAAAAGTACCCCGTCTTGTAGAATTGCAAGATGAACCAGAACTGCGCCGAGATGTGGTGGCTGCATATTCTTGCCGGAGACCTGACAATAATGAATGTGTTATTTCCTTTGTTATATTTGTAAGGTTTAGCTAAGCAAAACTCTATCACTGAAAATTTAAACAGGATATAGAAAAGGTCCCTTTCCACCTGAGTCATTTCAGACATCCTCCCTCCTACAGATGCATAAACCACATCTAAAAAGTTATTTCTAAATTGAATGAAATTTAATAAATTTTGCACAATTTCAACATTTTTTTAACCTAAAATCTACATTGCAAAGTAGAACCAGAAATGCAGAAGTATTTCTATGCCTTAACCAGGATTCCCAAATTTGAGATTAATACTAAAGGACTATGAAGGAAAAGTTATTGCTCAATAAATGAAAAGAATACATCAAAGAGTAAATAAATACTCTGAATACTTAATTCTTGGATTAGTCTTATTGATGAAGATGATGGAGAAAACTTTTATCTTATCCTTAGGAATTCAATTGTTGTGCATAAATGAGATTTCAGTTGCTTCATAACCCAAGAGACGTGAGTAAAATAATTCTAAAACTTCACATAAGATTTCAAGAAAGCTTAAATTCTAAGACTTCCTGACATTTTTAAATAGTATGTTTATTTTTACATCATTTTGTGCATTTTGACTTCATGACTTTTCAAAGGAGTCCCATATATATATGGATACTTTCAAAAACACCTCAACAACTATAGGAACCTTTCCAAAAGTCTAAAAATGTTGATAGATATTCAAAGAGACAAATAACAATTCCATAAATGAATCTAATTTAGATAATATTTTAAGCAAGTCCTGTTAACTACTGGCTGCTTAGTCTAAAGAATTTGGTTACAGAGTACTTAAACCTTTAGGTCATATATTTTTACACAGAAAGCACTTTCAGAAAAAAAAAAAGTACTTTCAATATGGTTTCCTAAGGACACCAAGAATCATACAAAGATATGTATGAAGCTAAGCACTGTAGTTTATTGATTAACTGAAAAAGTTAGTGTCTATTTATATTAAACATGGGCACTTAAGTCATATAACAAAAAAAAAAAACAAAAAAAAAACCTGACCAGCATTAAAAAAAATAAGGCAGCCCTATTTCAGAAAAGAAAAACTCAGATCCTGATGCTTTTTTTCCACTAACATGGGGATGCTAAGAAAGTTACAATCACTATGGAATTATTTACTCTGATTCTTTGCTACTCATCTTAAAATTGAGGCGGCTTACCAAGGCAAATCTGTAATTATACTTTTTTCTTAACCAAAAAGCTAGAGAAATGTTATTGTAAAAGGGAAAGTAGCTTCCTTAATATATATATAAAACTGGTATTTTTGAAGAAGTATTACATGTATTTTAAGCAATTTCTTCTTTACCACCAGAAAAAGTACTCATGTATATGGCTCAGGAGTATTACGAAAAGGCAAGCATTTCCATTATCCGTGACTAAACCACAATAATGAAAGCTGTATCAAATAGCTACTTAAGTTTCTAACAAAATATTGGGGTCTAAAAAGTTGAGGTTCTACGAGGAAATATGTAAATTTAAGGTATAGTTTGGCAACATTCTTCATTCTCTTTTCATATCCATAACTAGCTCTTACTAGCTGACAATACCATAGATTCAGTGAGAAGTTACACAAAATGCAGAAGAAAAGGATGCCATGTTATTAGTTTCTAGCATTAAAGACAGAGGAAGAAGCAAATCTTTCTTCTTTCTTAAGGAAGCTGTATAAAAGTAGGAAATAAATGAGCAGAGTTAAGAAACGTTTTGCAGTTTCTCAACAAATTTTATAGTTTAGTATATCTTACTTATGTTTACATTAAAGAAAGGGTCTGTTTTATATATAGACAATAGAAAGGTTTTTGAATGAAATTATAGCAATGATCCATTACCCTCAGTTAACTTGTCAAGACTCTGAAATGTGTGCATGGATGTCTATATTATATAGGTCAAGGAGTACATGCTTAGAGATATTGTTAACTTTATATTTAAGCCCTTAACATTTTACAATAAAATGTACAGATCAGAATAATAGTATCACCATTAATTTACATTCACATCAGAGTTAGGGCATCTAGGAACCCATGAAATAATATGAAAAATTTTGTTAATTTGAGAGAACATTGTTTTTAGTTAGATTCTCAAAGTTGTCTGTGACTTAAAAAGTTGCAAGGATCACCCTGCAAAGCTCCATATGTGGCATTTAATTTAATGCCACAATTCTCACAATTCTAATGTTCTCAGAAAGACCGTTTTTTAAGGTCCTCCCCTGGTGGCACAACAGATTACAGTGTGGTACTATGAAGCTATCTGAAGCCATTGCAGCAAAAATTGGACCTCCGGCCAGGGAGGTGACCCATATGGTACAACAGACCTCTCCTGTTTTGCCCGCTGCTCCCCTCAGCAGTGTACTTAGTCAGTCTGCCTGTTCTGCTCCCCAATCTGTCTCTGGCGAATCCTCTCAAAGCCCCTGCACCTCTGGCCTGTGCACTAGTGCTATATGCATAAATAAATAAATCTTTAAAAAAAATATATATATATATATTTTTTTAACCTCTACCATAATTATAAGTGAAGGTTGTCCCCGGGGGGGTAAAACTGCTTTTTGGGGTGTGACTCATTGTACATAAGGGGTATATCTGTGGCATTAAAATTTCATGGGGTGGGGGAGGTAGAAAAGGGAAAAATGTCTTAAAAGATCTTTGTTAAAGGCACTGGTGAAAAGGGTTGAGAAACACCGGTCTATACTAATGATAACAGAGTAACACTGGTATAGTGCAACGTAACCTGCAGAATACAAGTAACAATCACAGAAGCAGGTTAAAAACCTGCCTTTATGCTATCCTCACCCAGAAAACTGCTCATCATAAAATGGATTTGGGAAACATGTTAATGAAAAAGCAAGTCCACATTTTGAATAAGCTCCTGAAATGTCAACACTTCTACTCTGTTATAATTCCAAAACTTTATATTTAATCCCCACAACAAAATTATGAGGTAGACAATGATCTCAATTTCAACAATTACTTACTTTCTTCCTGCATCCGAGCTAGAATCTGCACATCGGTTACATCATTTAGCTTATAATTGGAGCCAATTGAATCTTCATCTAATTCTGAAGCACTTAACTCACTGTCTATAGACGATTGAGGACTGAGTGGAGGATTTCTGTCTGATGAATTTTTCAAATTACCTTAGAAAAGAAAAAGGTGATTTGGTAAAACTAAAATGGAATAAACATTTATTGCAATTAACATTAAATCTTTTAATTCAGCTCATTGTTATTCTACTTTTTCTCTTCGTAAAATTCAAACATTGACATTAAAAATGACCTCTTCAGGACTGTATTAAGTTATATATCCTACATATACTCCTTCATATGTAACAGTGCAAATATAAAACACATTTTCACATAACTATAACTTACCTATCTTCTTTTGTGACAATTAAGCTCTCAACATAGTATTAGCAATACTGTGAGAAGTTCAATAATACATATTTGAAGATTTCAATTTTTATAAGATAGCCAATGAAACTGTTCTATAACATGATGAATTTATGTAATGTTTTTTTCTCTGAAATTCATAATTATTAATAAACACCATCACCTTTCTCCCTCAAAAAAGTACCTACTTTTCCTAAACAAGAAAAATGTGATTTGAGAAAAATTAGGATTCCTTAGAGGTTTAGGGACAAAGTTTAGAAATGAAGCATACAAAGATGGGGTAAAAAAGTAACTTCATTAAAAAAGTGTTCTATCATTGTTCTATCACAGCTCTCATGTCCATCTGTGACTATGCTGGTACCTCTCTTTTTTCTTTCTATTCTTCCCAGTAAACTTTGCATTTAAAAATGCTAAAACAAAAAAGAAAAAAGTGTGGGAGTGGGTGGGGGGGTATTATGGGGATATAAGACAGGTCAGAGGAAAAAAGAATATTCATATTCAAAAAAGCTTAATTAGTTTGTAAGAAAATGCTGTTACAATTCTTCAAGAGAAGAATAATAAAATCCCAACACTGTCACTTAAATTTCTAATAGAGATTTATATGAAATGCTTTTATTTCCAGAATTCTTCACTGTAACAGTAAGTTTCAATATGAAATGCACAAGGAAGAGCAAGAATAGTTAACATTTATATTATCAAGAAGATACCAGGAAAAGTACTACATGGTCAGATTCAACTAGTACCCATATAAAACTCTTTATATTGAGCAAACATAGCAGATTAAACTGATTCTGATAGTCACAGGTGAAATAAGTACCAAATAACAACCCCTATACTAACTAAAGAGTAAGGTCAATAAAGTTTTTAGGAATACACAGGTAAGAAATTTGAGGTGTTTAACAGTTATTTTTAAGGGAGTGCTATATTAGCTGTAACAACAGCAACAATAGGTTTAACTGAATGAGTGAATTTTAAATAAAATTAAACTACAGAATAATGGTCTCACTCACACAACCAGGGTGCAATATTCTTTCTCTAATTTGTAGTAGTCTATACCTCTCATATAGTGTGGTTCCAGACACTCTTTTAGTGCCTTCTTGAAACATTATAGCATTACTTAAGTATACTACCTAAGCTTATTAAAACTTCTATATACAGGTAGCTTTTTAACTGTAGCTTTTACAACCCAAGTTTCAATCAGCATCAATTGGTTAAAAGAACCAAGCTTGTGACCCCATTTAATATAACAAGATTAAAAATCTTTTAAATACATGCTAAAAAGAAGTTTGTGACTATAACCTAGCTGGATGTCTGTGTATCCTGCAATCTAGTGTAGAAACTGATGCAAAATAGCTCCTCGGTGATCTTATATAACATAAAAGTTTCATAAATAAAATCAACTTTAACTAATGATGAATAAGGCAGAGCAGTAAACTAAAAACCATCCCTCAGTGACACCATTTTGCCCTCTCCTTACCTGAATTCCCAGGAAGTATAAGCTGTTTGACTATTGGAGGTCGCACTGGAGTGGAGGATGGTGAGTTGAAACCACTGCTATATGGGCTACTTGCATTTGGACTGTATGGACTTGAGTAACTCATGGAGTTGAAAGGATTATTATATAAATTCTGCCTCTTGAGAGCTGCATTAATGAGAAAGGAAGTAACCAAACTGAGTAATTGAGAAAAAGAACTTTATTTCAAAATATTTCCCATTAGGAAATTCATTGTCATTCTCTCACTTTAAATATAGAATAAACAATCTTATAGTAGTAGGGGAATATATCATGTTAATAATCCTAACAAAATGTTTCCTTTAGGTCCTCCCTGGTGGCGCAGTGAGTTAAAGCACTGCACTAAGAAGATTAAGCCATTTCCTCATGAGTTCGATCCCCACCTACCCTGGAGGAGACCACATGGTGAGGCAGACCTCTCCTGACCCGCCCCCTGCTCCCCTCAGCAGTGTACTTCGTTGATCTGCCTGTTCTGCTCTCCACTCTGTCCCCGTTGAATCCTTTCACCCTCCGCATCTCTGGCCTGTACCCCAGCTCTGTATGAATAAATAAATAAATAAATCTTTAAAACAAATGTTTCCTTTATCTTAAATTATGTTACCCAAATAAAACACTGTCCACACTAACCAACAAAAATATCATAGAAGAGTATTGCTACAATTAGTCATTGAATTCATTCACTGCTATCTTGTTGGAAAGCTTATTTCAAATATCTCAACCCAGAATGCCCTTCAATAAGAAATTGAATATTAGAGGGCATTTCTATTTTCTCTTTTATTGTAATAAACATGTATTTCTAAAATAAACCTTTAAAATATTAATTTTTAAAAAGTCATTGCAAAGTTGTTTTTTTTTTTTCTAGACAAAGCAATATTGACTGTTTAGTCCTGGTTAAAATTAAAGCAGGCAAGAATTCTCTTATTTAAAAGAAAAACCTTCCTTCCTTCCCTAGTTTTCTAACTTAGAGAGATTATATCTGTTGGAAAGAATAGATATACTATGAATATAAAATTACAGAAACAGTGCAAAATTAGGGTCTTAGGCCAGAGGTCTTGTGTGTGTGTGTGTGTGTGTGTGTGTGTGTGTGTGTGACTGACAGGATTCACCTAAGACAGATAGGGGAGCACAAATGGGTGATCTACTGAAATACACTGGTGAGGGGAACAGCAGACAAGACAGGAGAGGTCTGCTGTGCCATGTGGGTTAGCTCCCTGGCCTGGGGTGGAATTTAGGCCATAGCTGCTGGCAAGAGCTTGACAGCACTGAGACTTTCACCCCTGTGCCACCACAGAGGTCCAAGTGAGGTGATTTTAGAAAAGATCAGACACAATCTTAAAAACAGTTTTAAATAGTTAAATATATTAGGTGATTAAAACCATTATAGAATCCACTATTTTATGGACATTACTCTTTAAGATGAGGTTAATTAAAAATGAGGAAATTGAGGGTGGGGTAAGCTATTAGTAATACAGTATGTGCAACTGGTAAAAACTCATGATGGTATGTACAATGTGATCTGAAAAATACTTGAAAGCAAACATGCCTTCCTAAATATACTTTTCTCAACATTTATCTGCTTTTAAATATAAGAATGGAAAGAGATAGATTTATAAGTAATAGACATACCTGACATAGTTTGATCAAGTTTGTGGATAAGAGACTTTTTAGCACATTCAACATCAGGACTTGGGTAATCCAAAACTTGCCTGCACCAAACTAATGGACTAACCAATTTCTGCATTGGTGTAAGTTTTTTCTTTGGTGATGAATATAACCTAGAAGAAAAAAGAGGGAGGGGAGAGACATACATTATTAAGAACAAAGTTATGGGCCCTCCATGTGGGGCACAATGGGTTAAATAAAGCACAGCACTGTGAAACTCACACAGCCACTTCAGCATGAGTTGGATCCTGGCCAGGAAGGCGACCCACATGGCATGGCAGAACTCTCCTGACCCACCCACTGCTCCCCCCAGCAGTGTACTTGGTCGGTCTACTTATTTTGCCTCTGGTGAATCCTCTCACTGCCCCTGCACTTCTGACCTGTACCCCAGTTCTGTATGCATAATTAATAAATCTTTAAAAAAAAACAAAAAGAACAAAGTCACAAGGAGGGACCCTCTGGAAGGGAAAGAGAGAAGTGAAGGAGTAAGTCTAAAGTCACTCACATTTACTTTGTACACAGGAAGAAAATGACATTATAACAACCAGTCTAAGCCCAAATGAGGCTAACTGCCTTATCCTAAAATCTACCTCATTTTTTCTTTCATTCCCACTATAAAATCTGAAGAAACACAATAATTTACAATAATTTGTCTGTTTTCAATATTTGACCAACTCTAATATAACTATATTACTAAATCTTTTATAGGAGGCAAATGAGAAAATAATTTCACTATTTCTCAACCCTATTCCCTTTCCTATAATGAAACACAGAAAAACTTACCATTAATAATTCATGCCTTTTAATTAAGCAGTACCCATTCAACAGCCCTTCTTTCAAATGATATATCAGAGAAAATAAACTTTTTTTCTTTTAAAGATTTATTTATTTATGCATACAAGATCTAGGGTACAGGCCAGAAGTGCAGGGGGTGAGAGGAGTCACCAGAGATAGAGTAGGGAACAGAATAGGCACAATGACTGAAATACCCTGCTGAGGGTGTAGCCAGCAAGACAGGAGAGGTCTGCTGTGCCATATGGGTCAGCTCCCTGGCCTGGGACAGAACTTGTGCTACAGTGACTGCCAACAGTTTCATAGTGCTGTGCTTTAGCTCCTTGCATTACCAGGGAGGCCCGAAAATAAACACTTTAAATCCTTAATAACAGAATAAATAACTTAATATGAATAATATTACTTAAGTCTCAGGAAAGAAGGGATAGTTTTATAAACTCCTAGGGAAGGAATACACAAAGGAAAAGGTGAGCAAAAAGAAGGGTACACAAACATTTCCTACTTCATAATTCTGCCTCAAATTAGTTGAGATTATGAGAATTGACAATTTATTTTAGTGATGCCATATGAAAAATGTGAAGTTACTTGAATTCTAACCACAGTGGCTATCAAATTAAGAGAGAAGAACAGAACAAAATTTTTGAGATGAGCACATACAAGGTACAGAAACTACACAAAATGTCACTGATGTCACTGTCTTATTTCCCTGGAACTAGAACAAGGAGTAACAAATGCAGTATATATAATGCCATCACCCTGGGTTCCTACCTGGGGACTAAACATACTTTCTAAACATATTTTCAGCTTTTTCAGAAGTTGACCCTCTTGTAGAAGATAAAGAACAACAAAAATAACCTTAGTAAGATTCATTTTAAGTCATCATAGTAATAACTGATTCTGGCAAAAATAAAGATGAAATATTGTGACTTTTATTAAAAAAATAAATAAATCTACCTGCAAACATGACATGACGTTAGAAAGACCAAGGTGTTTCACAGTCCCTGAGTTTTAAAGAAAATTCTCTTAAATTTATATGCAATGACCACACACATTTCTACAAACACTCAGACTTGTGTAAAATAACTACCCTACCTACTAAAAACACTTTTTAATCTAGTACTTCTGAATTTATTCAGCAAATATATGGCTTAATCAAGAGAGCACCCAATAGCTTATTTATGGCTAATTTATTTATAATAGGTTGAGATTTGTCAAGCTTTTATTTGCTAAAAAAATATTCATTATCTATTTCCAGTGAAGCCAAAAAGGTCCATGTGAAAAACTGAAAAAGTTGAGTCTGACTTTTGACACCCAATACAATTCCACATTCACAAAAGCAACAAAAAGAATAAAATATCTAGGGATAAATTTAATGAAATTCAAATGAAGTGTAAAATAATAAAACATTTCTGAGATAAATTCTGAAATTATATAAGACCTACATAAATGTACAGATGTACCATGTTCACAGATCTAAACACTCAAGGGCTCTCCCTGATGGCACAGCACTGTGAAGTTACTGCAGTCACTGCAGTACCAGTTGGATGCCCAGCTGGGGAAGTGACCCCCATAGCAGACCTCTTCTGAACCACTTGCTAGCCTCCTCAGCATTGTATTTCAGTGAATCTGCCTGTTCTGCGCCCCACTCTGTCTCTGGTAGATCCTCTCATAGTTACACTGCCCCCACCCCGCACCTCTGGCCTGTACCCCAGTTCTGTATGCATACATAAATCTTTAAAAAAAAAAAAACCTAGACTCTAAATTGTCAAGAATATCAATTCTTCTAAGTTGATCTGCAGAATCAATATAATAAACAAAAAAAATCTTACCACACATTTTTGTACAAGTTGATTGTCAAACTGATTCTAAAGGTTATTAAAAAAATCAACGATCAACACTTTTGAAATGAAAAAATTTTTAATTTGAAAATCTCTATTCTTATTCCCTTCCAATTCATTTTACATACTGCAGCTAAACTGATTCCTAAAATATAAATCTTATTTTATGAATATTGCTTTGCTAAAAATTATGTGCTCGGGCCCTCCCTGGTGGCGCAGCGGGTTAAAGCACAGCACTAAGAAGCTAAAGCCACTTCTGCATAAGTTCGATTCCCACCTGCCCCGGAGGAGACCACATGGCGTGGCAGACCTCTCCTAACCCGCCCGCTGCTCCCCTCAGCAGTGTACTTCGTCCATCTGCCTGTTCTGCTCCCCACTCTGTCTCTGGTGAAGCCTCTCACTGCCCCTAAGCCTCTGGCCTGTACCCCAGTTCTCTATGTACAAATAAATAAATTAAAAAAAAAATTATGTGCTCATTTCCTTTTGTCCTTATATTGATTAAAAAAAAGTCCCCACAGCCCTTGAGACATGAGCAATGACCTAACTGTTGCAGCATTTTTTTTTTAAAGCTTTTTTCTCACCCTTCATCACCACCCAAATCTAAATAGCAGCCATATGGTACTAATTTCTATTCCTGGAAAGCCCTTTTTCTTCTAGATAATTTGTGTATGCTGTTCTACTTGCCTAAAACAAGCTCAAATCTACTTCTTGCTTATCTCATCCTCCCAAGCCTGACTTCAGTCAGCTCATTCCTATTTTCTACTGGAGAATCTCAGCTATAATGATACTTCTTAAAGTAAAGCATTCTTCATAGCTTATACTACATGTCCCACTATGTGCAATAGTGAAGCAAGGTTATCTCTACAGTCATTTAGTATGTCCTATTATTAACAAGGAGATTCTACCCTTAACTCTCATTTTAATTACAAGAGACTTCACATTTATATTCATTTTTGTCATGTCGGAATGCTGTGAATTGGTATTTATAAATTGAAAAGTGACTTTTAAAATATGTTAGAAGTGTTAAAAAAAAGTTGTAGTAAAAAAGACCCTCCCTGGTGGCGCAACTGATTGGGACACAGCACCGCAAGTTGGCCGCAGCTGCTTCAGTGCAAGTTCAATCCCCAGCCCTTGAGGTGATCCACATGGCGTGGCAGACCTCTCCTGACCAGCTTGCTGTTCCCCTCAGTAGTGTACTTTGTAGATCTGTCTGTTCTGCTTCCCGATCTGTCTCTGGTGAATTCTCTCACTGTTTCTGCACCTCTGGCCTGTACCCCAGTTTTGTATGCACAAATAAATAAATCTTTAAAAAAAAGAAAGAACGAACGAAATATAGGAAAATCAGCAAATCATTCTAATTAATGAGAGCTGGTGGCTGGACCACTAGACACATGGTCACTTCACCAAATGGAGCACTAAGTAAACTCACCTGTATTCATAAAAAAACAAATTTTAAAAAAAAAAGGTTGTACTATAAATAAACTAAAAAACATTATGTTAAATAAAGGCAGCCAGATATGAATGGGGGGGGGGAAGGTAGGAATGGAGGAACACACACCCACACACAGAGAAGTCAGTCACAAAAGACTGCGTATTTCATAATATTATTAATATGACACATTTAAATAGGGAAAATCTAAGACAGAAAATCAGTCAGCAGTGGCCTAGCGATGGAGTGGGGGTAAAAAGAAGAATGGGAAGTGGCTGTTAATGAGTACAGTGTATCTTTTGGGGATACTGAAAATACTCTAAAACTAGATTATGGTATGGAAGTATAATTCTGTAATTATACTAAAGAAAATCAATATATTAAAACCACAGAACACTTTAAATGTTTAATTTTATGAATATGTAAATTAGATATCAATAAAGCTATTAAAATCCTTTAGAAATAAACTGTTCTTTCAGGATTTGACATTACAAAAGAATTAAACACCATTATGCATACTGTTGAAATAATGAAAGAATGAGTAGAAACAATGAAAAACATGACTACCATTTGACTGGCAACTATACTCATATTTTGGACCATTTGTCACACATACTCATCTGTAAAATGGTAATGAAAACAAGTGGAGGCAAGCGAGGCCTGGGAGACTTGGCGGGCTCTCCGTCTTTAGGCCTCCTGGCCCACCCAATAAACAAAACAAAACAAAAACAACTACCAGCAGATGGCCCCTCCCTTCTCATCCTTTGCTATTCTCAGTGCTTATTTCAATAAATCACCCTTAAAAAAGCACACACACAAGAATATTACTTTTTAATTGTAACAATTTTCAGTAACATAATAAACCTTATTGTATTTGTAAATGTAACATTTCCAGTGACAAGAAATATAAAATTGTCAGTATAACAGCCTCCCTTTTGCTACCAAAGTTGTTATATAGTTTAGAGTATGTATCTTCTGACTTTTCCATGCATACACACATGGCAACTATATTATGAAAAGATAGAGATAGAAATGGAGATTGGAGTTACTTTGC